ACACACACACACACACACACACACAGAGAGAGAGAGAGAGAGAGAGAGCTGCCACTCACCCCGAGGTCTATTAGTGTTCTAACTGCAGTGTGTACCGCCTCCTCGGAGCAGCTCTCTGTGAGATATGGCACAGAAGCACACATGAATCAAAAGAACAGGCAGATTTCCAATATAGAAAACGAGGTCGGGATAACAGAACAAAGCCACTACCAGTGGGACTGTAATTTTTATACTATGTATTATTGAGGGGTGCCATTTGTGTGGATTCTCTCTGTCTTCTGTGTTATTTTGGTAATGTGAGAGAATGGGATGGGAGTTCAGCAGCTGCACCGGCTCTCCTCTTCGGCTTCAGCAGATTTGTAACAACATACACCAAATCAATAGTAAAAGGGAGGGTGACATACTTCTAAAGTTATGACATCAAAAAAATAAGAGCATCTGAGCGAGAGTGGGGTTTTTGGAATAGGGTGTCAGGTYGAGCTCACCATAGTGCTGCTTCTTCTGATTTGCTGTGTCACAAAGATGGGAGCGTACCCCAGACACAAACTCAGCCTCTGCAGCAGGAAAGACAAGAAAATGGAGGCATTACTCCAACAAAGCAAAACAAGAAGAGTCTGCAGAGATGGTGGATGGTCTTTGTCTGCCTCTGTCGTGCTCTCTTATGTTCCACAGGTCACTGAGGATGGCGAAGGGTGAAAGACAAACATCTGAGCAATGTCAATTATTCATTTCATCTCCACGGCTAGGAACCATCAAGTCCTTTGCTTTTCCCTTCTCGGTCTGAACTTAATAAAAAAATTGGATACTTTCTTGAGCAGTATGAAAGAGCTTGCAACCACTAGCTTTCCCTACATCAGAGTGTTCGTACCGGCCACAGGAGCATCCATCAGGTCCAGCGCCTTGATGGTCCAACAGAGCGCCCTCAAATGTCCAGCCAACATGCTGCAGAGGAAGAACAGCATGTCCGGACACTGACTCGGCTGGCTTATCTAGAAAAGGAGACAGTAAGCAAAGCAGGAGAGCCAAGAAAAAAATAAATCAAACTGAGGGTGGAAAAAAGTTTCCGAGCAGGTCTGTCAGGAAAACAAAATACAGCGGGAAGCAGCAATATAACATCCAAAGTTTTATTAAGATGTTTTTTTTAAGGTTTCTGTATTTCTCCTCCACCACACAGGAGCCACGCAGTCAATGTTTCAAAGTTATGCCCAAATAACACCATGAGGAGAAATGTGCAGTAAATAATTCATGGATTAAATAACTGGACGTGTAAACACTGCAACACGAGATCTTTCATTTAAAGTTTTTGTTATTTGATTTTACTTATTTAGGTCAAAGTCTGCTGTAATGAATAAAAACCTGTCTAAAAACTTACACATCACTATGAAGAATAAAGCGTTTAAAATTATTTAACTCTTCTTTCAGAAAATACAGCTGCTCTGACTGCTTCCCTCAACATGAACTCATTTTCTTTATTTTTTTCCTTTGCTGTATTTGTACTCTGCTCTTCACCAAAACTTCCTACAGCCAGCTCTGAATGTACACGGTGAGTCAAAAGTCACAGGACACACTTTTATTTCAACAATAAAAAGGAAAAAAATGACTGATGGGTGAGGGGGCCTATCTTTCAGGCTGTGTACACAACATGGCTGTCATACTGGATCAATGGTTAGTTTTTCCAAATATAAGCCCCCTCACCTATTACTTGCTGGGTATTCAGATATACCATTCTCCCTTTTGTTTCTGAAATGAAAGTGTGTCCTGTGACTTTTGACTCACCMTGTATATATAATGTTAGGAAGTCTGAATAAAAATTTAAATGTTTTAATTCAATATTCCTCACTAAGAAATCTAAATCTGTGCAACAGTCTTGAATAAGATGCTAAAGTTCTGCATAAATATTTTTTGTAAAAAATCTATTTACTGTACTGAACAAGAAAAATTAAAAGAATTAGCTGCTTCAGTGTTTTAAAGATAATCTGAGGATGACTGCTATTTTTCTTATACCAAAATTATTTCTTGTTCTAAAACTTAAAAACAAAAAACAAGAGTCTCTTCTATCTTAAGAGGAAAAACAAACAACCTAAAACCTCAGAAGTTTTCACCAAATTTGTTCTCTATAAGTACTCATCATTGATCATCCATCAAAGACTGAACCTGATGTTTCTGCAGAGTTGTCATTTTAACCATGCTGAGTGAGGTGGCTTATTTCTTTAAAACTCTCATTCTCATCAGGAGAGAATTCCTCAATACCAGGGTCCTCCTGAACACAGTCCTCTGTCTCAGAGACAATCTCTTCTAAGTCACTTTCACTGTCCATGAGCTGTTCCAAAACATCTTYGACAGTAAACCTTTTCCCAGAAGACATTTTCAAAGAGAGAGCGTGCAGATTGCAGTTTACTCAGAGCACAATGAGGAATGATTTGGATAGAGGACAGATGCAAGCTTTTATATTTGTTCCTCCCTGATTTTACATGATCTACCAATGTGCTTGCAGGAATACCCCACCCTCTACAGTGCGGGGAAAAAACAGTTCTACTTTGACAGGTGTGAGTTCAGAAGGACACACACACACACACACACACACACACACACACACACACACACACACACACA